GCTTCTCGTTTGAAGGCCATCGCTCTTAGGTTGAAGGCCATCGCTAGCAGGTTGAAGGCCATCGCTACTAGGCTGGAGGCCATCGCTAGCAGGTTGACCCAAAGAGGGACCGTTCGTTCGTTGACTCACCGTAGTGCGGGCCCGCGCTCGCTCCCTTGCTCCTGCCTTCATGGCCCGTTCCAAGTCACCTTTCACCTCTGCCAGTTCCACACCTGTGCCACAGCGAAGGTGCCAGGAGAAAACCGAGAAAACCTCGACAACTGCATTTGTATGGTCTAAAAGGAAAACACAAGAGAGTTAAGGCCTCCTTGAAAGGAGCCTTACCTTCTTTTCATCCCCAATTCTAGAAAAAGGTAGAAGTCCCCGATTTCCAATCGAAATTGTCTTGTCCGGATTCTTGGATGACAATCTCAGCCACACCTTGTTGGACAGACTCAAGTGTTGGAAATTAGACTGGCCAGTCTTCAAAGGCTCCAAATCCTACCAAGAACACGCTTGACTTATGCAGCTCTTGCTATGCGGCTCTAGGTCGTGGTCTCAACACATCCAACATAATAGCAATGGCATCCAACCTAATAGCAATGACCTCCAACCCACTAGCGAAGCGATGGCCTCCTATCAGGTTTTCCGGCCCTTTGCAGTTTCTTAGTCTCCCCAACTGGCTTGATCTTCGAAGATCTCCAACTGCTTCCTGCCAGTCAGGTCCAACACCTCATGAATGCTACACCTCGAAAGCAAGATCCGACCTGAGCTTGCTTCTTTTGCGAAAACAACAGCTGTGACTTCATCGTAAAGAGCTGTCATCCCGGCAAAATGTATTCTTTCGGACGATTCCACAGCGAAAGCTTATTCTTTCTGAGATATTCATGGACAAAACAATGAATGAGCATCATTCGGAGAAACCACAACCCCATCCAAGCACCATCCAGGTCATGCAGGTCCCAAATCTTCTTTGCCTCCTTATGTATTGTTTCTACTAGCTTCTTGTTCCTAGTAGTAAGGCCCTTGTTCCTAGTAGCGATGCACTTGTTTCTACTAGCTTCTTGTTCCTAGCGATGCCAGCCCCGTTCCTAGCCGTCCTTTTTCCCCTTTTCGGCGGACCGGAATCGCCGGTGCATTCGACTTCGCTCGCGTGGGCGACCGCCGGAGCGTGGGCACCGGGACGGACGCCGTGGCGCCGCTGGGACGGACCTCTGCACAGATCGGCTCCGTCGGCACTGACGTTCTGCATGCGTGTTGACGCTGTCACGGTCCCAAGATCGTTGGTGCGGAAAGAAAGGCTGGGCGAATGAGAACACATTGGGAATAGGTATACGAAGACATTTTCTTCAATCCTCTTCGGGCATTCTTGGGGATTTGACAGACTCTCAGCTTTTCAGATGGTATTTTGACACCTTCACTTCGCATCTCGGGGTCGTTATCAGTGCAGCTCTAAACCACGCCGAGGTGAATTGAGGCGAGCATCAGGACGACGGCGTTTTGGTGAGGGCTGGGTGGGTGGGATGGTGGAGGATGGTGGGTAGTCACGGGTGGTCATTCCAGCCTGCTACCTGCAACTAATAGCGATGGCCTCAGCCGAATGATTTATATGGCTGGTACTTCCTCCAAGTTGACCAGGTTGGAGGCCATCGCTACTAGTAGCTAGAAGCTACTAGTAACAAGTGGACCTGAACATTCCAAGTTGACCTAGTAGTTCTGCACCCAAGCACACTTCCAAAAGAACAAGACCTTGCGATGATCAACTGGCTGAGGCATCAGTCGTCCGATTTGCTCTTCATGCAACTAGAAAGACCATATATTTCTGTTGGACTAGGTCTTACAAAAAGAGAGGACAAAAAAGGGTAGGGGCCTCTTTGATAAGGGGCCGGTTGAAGGGACTTAGAAGGAAAGGCAAAGACATTAATTGCATAACGGACGAAAGAACGTATCACTACAGACCGGACCTAGGTCTTGGACTACCTGCTGAACACAGCAAGCAGGTCTTGGATGGGGTGTTCCGTCCCATGTTTTGTGGCTACAAACGCTCACTCTTTCCACACTGCTCTCGAAGACCCGAATATCAAAAAAACATAAAGACTCCTTTGACCCGAAACAAGTGCCTTACTAGTAGTAATAAGTGCCACGCTACTAGGAGCAAGGTCGCTACTAGGGGCTCCTGGCCATACTGCTAGGAGCAATGTTCGCTACTAGGAGCATTTCGGGCATCGCTACTAGGAGCGTTCGGACGCTACGTTCGGGGCTCCTGGCCTTACTACTAGGAGCGTTCGGACGCTACGAGGAGCGGTGCCATGATTTCTCGTGTTGATTCTAAGGTGAGCCCACCAGTTCTTCATGCCTTCGATCCTTCTCGTCCCTCGCCGTTTGGTTTCATCTCCCGAACGCTTTCTAGGAGCCGCGAGTGGTCCAAAGCGATTGGTTTCACCGAAGCAAAACACCCTGACTGTTCAAAGAACGCAACAGATTCACAAAGCTTGAATTAAACCTCAAACACGCATTTAGGTTGGAGGCCATCGCTCTTAGGTTGGAGGCCATCGCTATTAGGTTGGAGGCCATGGCTATTAGGTTGGAGGCCATCGCTATTAGGCTAGAAGCCCATTGCTATTGGGGTGGAGGCCATCGCTACTAGGTTGGAGGCTATCGCTCTTAGAGAGTACTTTCTTCAATCATTTTTCGCAGCTCCCGTAGTGGCGTCCGTGCCATGGTGGTCGGTGCCCTGCACGGTTCACCTCATTCCAACCATGGCCGTTGAGAGCCGGAGCACCATAGGAAGCAGAGAGTTCCAGTGGAGCTGAGACATGGATTGACATGGAGTTCCCAGCAGCGTCCTTGCTCCTAGTAGTAAGGCCAGGAGTTCCTAGTAGCTTCTTGTTCCTAGTAGCAATGCCAGGAGCCCCTAGTAGCGACCTTTTCCCAAAAAAAGGTTCAAGGGGGCCTTACAACCCTAAGTCATCCTTAGCTTGTTTGATTGTGTTTTATTTTCGTTCGCTTTTCATTCTTTGATTTTTGGGTAGCTGCTGCTTTTTCTTCCCATGGTCCCGTGCTGCCGGCTCGGAAGATCGGGATTCGCTGGCGATGGGACCAACTTCAAAAGTGCTGAAAAGCATGAGAAAGAAAGAACGTAAAAAGAAGCTACTAGTAACAAGTGCCTTACTAGTGGTAACAAGTGCCTTACTATTTAATTTTAACTAGAATCTAATAAAAATTACTAGAAGCAATGGCCTCCGACCTAACAGGACTCCGACCGACTTCAAATCATAATTTGGTCTGCTGAGTTTGGTCTGCCTTGGCCGTTCCACATGAAAAGCGATGAAAAACAAGCAAGAAGACCTCGCAGTTCAATCGACCGTTTCTCAGACTTCCAGGCCCTGGTGATCCGCACCACTCCAGCACCAGCTGTACAGGCGCACCCACAGCCAGTCCTTATAGTGCATTTGTTGTCTCTTCCAACTCCAAGTCCCTCTAAGTCCCTCAGCTGAGAAGAAAAGAGTCACTCCATGTCGCAGGATTCTTCAAACAAAAAGGATATGGGAGTCCCTAGTTGAGATGTTGTCAACAGTTCCCTCCGCTTCAAATATGATCAATAAACATCATGAATCAGGTGAATGTGAGGTCTTCAGCTCCCCCTTTGCCAGCAAGACCGTCTACGATTCTGTGAAAGGCAGCATGGAAGGTGGATGCATTCTTTGGAGCACCTCTGTTTAAGCCGCAGTGGTTTGTGACAAGGAGGGGAAGTCTTCAAGAAACACTCCCAAATTCGAGTCATCTCCTATATTCCCCTCAAAACCACCTGGATGACTGGACACGTGAACGATTCAAAGAACAGGTCAGGTGAGATCTGTTCTTCTCCTCTTTTGTTCAACAAGGACGCTACTAGGGGCTCCTGGCCTTACAACTAGGAAGCTACTAGGAACAAGAAGCTATCATGCGCACACCTCACACGTTTCAGTAACGGCTTCGATGCTTTTCGGTGCGACTCTTGGGTTTTGTGACGACTCGTGGGTGCCATCGAGCGGTTTGCGCCATCAACAGTCACCGCTGGGACGGGCGCTTTTAGTCAACGGCTGCGGCCTGGTGAAGCGGAAGTAAAGACTTCCGACTTCTCGGCTTTCTCCATCGCTAGGAGGCTGGAGGCCATCGCTATTAGGGTGGAGGCCCTACTGAAGGCTACCGGTGTCATGAACTGATTGACATCGTGAAATCCGCCAGTCCAAAGCTCGGAACTTCCGACTTGACCTCCACGAGGCACGCAGTCATGAACGCAGTCATGCTATTCCTTTTAAAACATTTTTTCGAAGAAAAAAGGAGCCTCTCTCGAAAACCGGGTCTTTCAACTCAGTGACGGCGCACTTGGCGCTTCAAACATAATTGGACCAAAGACTATGGATGGATAAGTCAGCTAAAGGACGCTGCTCGGCCATAAACGATCCTAGACAAATCACAATGCATCTGAGACTAAATCTCTTCAGCTCCTGAATGCAGTGAACCTTTCGGAATGTCCCCTCGGAGGCTGGGAGTGAGTCGATGCAGCAATGTCCAGTCACAGTGGGATCGAAAGGGAGCGTCAGTGGCAAGCTGCATCAAGTACCGGGTTTTTCCTTGAAGGAGCTGGCCGAAATGGGACCTTGTTGGGAACCTGCGGGGACTGTCCGGTACCATCTTCTTGTTACTAATGCTCCTAGTAGCGATGCCAGGAGCCCCTAATAGCGTCACTGCTCCTAGTAGCGATGCCCTTGTTACTAGTAGCTTCTTGCTCCTAGTAGTAAGAATGCTCCTAGTAGCGATGCCAGGAGCCCCTAGTAGCGTCACTGCTCCTAGTAGCGATGCCCTTTGTTACTAGTACCTAGTCTCAGTTCAGGTTGAGAAAATGATCTTGATTACTTTCCGACGATGCTCCGCTTGTGCAGTCTCCGTGGAGGTCTACGCTTAAGCGAAAGGGCCCTGCCAATCGTTTGGTGGACAGCAAATGGTCTATTGATTAAGAGTAAACGCCCGAAGCAAGCAAGCTAAAAGACGCAGGACATTACAAATCAGGCAGATATAATGCGGCATAGACGGCAAATCTTGATGTGTGAAGCAGACATGGGCCTTTCTCTGGGCGAGACATGATTGATAGCTAGAAGTGTTAAGTTTCCCTCAAAATCTAGGAACCAAATCATTAGTGCAAGCGTGAGATATCCTGCGTCCTAGGCAGTAGCTTAAGTAAGGTACTAGCTACCGTTTGCTACTACTAGCTTGCTACTACCTCCTCTCGGCCTACACCCCCTCCACGAGCAAAAAACACAAAAGGAATAAAGGACATTTCTAGATCACAAACTCCCTCCTCCGTAGATCGCAAACTGTTGCCTACCACAAACTCCTCAACTAAATGCCAAAGCGGAAACAATAATAACGTGCATTTGACTTGTGTCTAAAAACAATAGTATTCTAATAGTAACAGTAGGAACACTAATGCTAGTGCTATGACTTGTGTGACTCGGTTGCTGTGACGATCCTGACATCGTCTGCATCGAACGCCTCATTCCCCCCGAATATGTACAAACCTCCCTCGATGTGACACCTCAGCGACTGGAGTCTCTACGCCATGCAAAAGATCGCTAAGATTCGTTTCTTCTTTAGTTTGCATGGACATGGACAACTAGGACAAGCATGGACAGGCATTGTGGATAGTGTTCTTGAGCCGCTTTTTGTAAGGACCTGTCTCGTGCGTCAATGCGTCAACCAAGCATTCCAACCTGTCTGTAGGTGCCAGGCACTGAACACGAAAAAAGTTCCAGCGCAGTCCACCTCAGGCCGCCAGCAGGGAACGAGACGTGAACGAAAAGTATCCTGTGGTTGCAAATATGTCAACTTGTGTCTAATAGGGATGGCCTCCACCCTAATAGCAAGGGCCTCCACCCTAAGCGCGATGGCCTCCACTCTAGTCGTGATGGCCTCCAACCAACTAGAGATGGCCTTCTACACGATCCAAAGCGAACGTTTCCAAACCAAACTGAACCAAACGCGCGCTGGAAAACCAGAGCTGGGAGCCCCGACCCTCTGCGCTATCTTCCGCGTGGCGTTCGACGCTTGCGGCCGGCGCCGGCCTTGGTGACGTGCGAACGAAGGAAGCAGTAAGGCCAGGAGCTAGTAGCCTCCTTGCTCCTAGAAGCGATGCCCTTGTTACTAGCTTCTTGCTCCCAGTAGTAAGGCCAGGAGCCCCTAGTAGCTTCTATGCTCCTAGTAGCGAGGCCCTTTGCTCCTAGTGGCAGGGCCTCAAATGGAAGATGTGTGAGTCCATTTTGGG